TTTTTTTTTTTTTTTTTTTTTTTTTTTTTTTTGACAATTACAGTTTGAACCGTATATTGATTACGCCGCACCGTCGCCGTGGATTAAGTATATGGATACGGTATTACGGCTGTTGGATAAACACAAAAACGTTCGACTCGTTGTGTTTATTTTAAACTCTGAGCGCAACGATGAATGTATTAGTTATATTATGATGGCGGGAAAATGTTTCTTGTTTTCTGCGTGCAATCAACGTTTCTTCGAGGGATTTTTTCTCCGATTTACAAGTGAAACACATTTTTAAAACGAAAATGTTGTTTAGTTAATGCATTGAAAACGTAATTTCTCTTAATGACTGAAAAAATGTACGGGAAAATTTACGACAATGACGGTTTCACATTTTTCGATTTTAATTGTTTGGTCACAAATTAAAATTGTTTTAACCGAGTATAAATATTTGCAAATTTAACGTGAATTTAATCATGAATTGTACTTACTGATGAAACAAATTTTGGTCCAGTGGTTTTTTTAGTATAAACCACGGACTTCAAAATATATTTAACCGGAATTCGCACGAAATCATTTTTCGTTACTTAATGATATATCGATACACACAGTTATAAATTAAATAACTACATTGTATCCTTCCTTCCTAACTTCTCACCTATAACAATGGCACGCCTGTAAGCAATATCAGCTATTTGTTTTTTTTTTTTTTTTTTTTTTTTTTTTTATAATGAGTATACTGTCGCTGCAGCACCGCATCAAACTAACCGTTTTTGACCTTTAGGCAGAAGAAACCCAACCGTTGTGAACGCCACGCCGCCGTAACTTTCCGTAGAGCATGTTACATTAATTTATACGATTTTTATACGATAGTTTGTTTTTTATTTTCGTGAAAATAATAGGGAAAATCATTTTTTACGCGTTTAAGCAATTTGTTCAGTGGTCCAAAATGAGAGGTGAGATAATATGTTACCTATTATCGGTGGTTAGTGTTTTAACAGTTGTGAGACTAAATACGGGTCGGAGTGTTACAGAAAAAGTTGGGCACTAACTACAGTTCAAAACTATGCATTGAGTTGACTATATTTGTTAATAATTATTTAAACTTAGTCATTCGGTTTAAATTCTGAATTAACTTACTGTCTAATTTTTTTAACTTTATATCTATCTACCTGAATATGAATTCAATCAAACGCGTTAAAAAGAAAAACTAACTGGAGTTATTTTTCGATTTTTGGTAGGTTACTTTTCTTTCGAAATCTGTACTTTAATTATAATAATAATATTGTTCTTTTGGTAAACTTTATGGTTAATATAAATATTTATTAAATTTTGCGAATAAATTATGGTTACATAAGTTTATAGTTTTAATCAATAACTTAGTGTCAATAATTTTGAATGGACGGGTGCAAGAGACGTTAAAAATAAATACAATTTGACATCATCGATCAACTTTTAAATTAACTAAGTTGGACATTTTGTAAAAATTGATTTTCAATTCAGTTTGAATTGATTTTCATAATACCTACCTAATGAATATAATTAGACTTTAATAAGTTAGAATAGCTTTAAGTTAGAGTATCTTGCTCTGCGTTGATGTCAGGGTGTTGAATATGACGTACAGTACAAGTATAATCGGGGGCAAAATTGTTATCAGATCGTTTAAATGTTGATTTTTTTTTTTTTTTATATTTAAACTCTTTTTAACTCGCAACGTTGCCAGATGTCCGAACATCATTAATTATTAATAGAAATCCGAAAAAAAAAAACCGTACACCGGGATTGTAGTCGAAATCCGTCAGTGTAGTTATGGTGTTTCACTAATTAATTACTCGGTGTTCAAATGCAGATAATTTCCAGATGTAATCATCCGATCAAGATTAACTTACGCACAGACGTTCAAAAAAAAAAAAAAAATGTGTCTGATTTGGATCAATTTCTTAATCTATGAATAATAATAATCACCATCGAATGCAATTCAAAACTAATAAGTACCTACCTAAACTCAAGGCTGTCTGGACTAAAATACATATGGTTTTATCAGTCCTGAGCGTAGCAATGAATACATTGATTTTATTATAACGTAACCAACAATTTTACCTGCAGAAATCTTGTTCCAGTCATTAACATCGGGAGTGATTTCTGTTGGCCATTTTTGTTTAGTTTGTGCATTTTTTTATTTTCATTGTAGTTTTCCTAATAATCGGGAAAACGGAAAAGTGTACGCAATAACAGTTTCTGTGATTTTCGATTTTGTTTTTACTGTTGTGATTCGCGGTTAGCAATAATCGTAGGGACCTGACATTTTCACAGAACAATTATATTAATCTATTTTTGTTGTGGTTTGGATTGAAAATGTTTTAGTGATTTTTGGATTATTAATGGACATTTACGAGTTTGTTTCATTTTTTTTGGTTTAATATGAGAACAATTTGTTTGGGCAAGCCAAAATATTTAACAATTTAACATTAGATTCATCATTAGTAATTCTTGATAGTTAAAATAAAAAATAAAAAGCTGAACGTTATTACGTAGTAATTTTTTCAATACAGTATTTCAAAACGTGTTTAACCAAACTTTACTCAGAATCGTTTTTCGTTAGCGATGATTTATCGTTTTGTGCATATATATATATATATATGAATTAAACAACTTTATGTATCGTAAATTCCCATCTGAAAAACTACGATATAGTGACACACCCGTCAACAGTATCAACTTTTTTTTTTTCATTGATTCGAATGTGCGAAGTTTCAAAACTGTCTAAAAATAAAAACTTCATCATAACTGACAGAGGGTCGAATCATTGTACGTTTTCATTTGATATTAGAATAGCCAAAAATAGCAAAAACAAAATAAAAACTTTCAGAGTCACGTAACAAATAATTTTATTGCGATTTTCACTGAAGCTATTACTCATGTAACCTTTTTATTTTTTATTTTTTTACAAATCTCGACGTTAGAATAAATGTATACGATTTTTTCTTTTTGTTTTTCAGGCCGATTTTGGATCTTAGCTTTTCGTTATTTATGTAATGCCGTTAAAACGCTTTAATCATTTTAGTGTTTCTAGTTTTTCAATCCTGCGATTGGTTTATAACAAACTCGCGCGTACGTCTCGGTCATTTATCGCACGACGTGTAATTCCGCGCATTTCAATTTACTAATTATTATAAAATAATAATAATTCATTCAAGTAGCCATATTTTTCTTTTTCCATTTATTTAATTAAAACTGAATTCGAATATCAATAAAACATTAGGCTGTAGAAGTTAAAAAAAAAAAAAGCTTTATCGCTTTATTTTATTAAATAACTTATTTTTTTATCTATGTACTCATATAGATTTTTACTGTTTTTTAAATCCGTATTTTACAGTGCGGATAATCTTAATGTTTACTGAAAATTATAATGCTATTATACCTATTAATAAAACTTTTTTTTTTCAACTGTTACGCCTAGCTAATCAATAATAATAACATAATAATATTTTTTTTTTTTTTAATACGAAACAATCGATTTTTTTTTTTTTGTTTAATTATTAGACGGTCGTCGTCGTTTTCGGCGAACACGAGTATGTGTATGTAATTTTATTTATTTTTTTTTTCAACTAACGCGATCGTTTTTAAACCGTATATAATATTTTAATGATGATTTTTTTTTTCTGTTTTTTAACTGCGCTAGGACATTTATTGGAACACTCGACTATTTATTGGCCGTGGCCAGTATTTCGGTGGTACACAAACGATATAAATATAATATTTTACACACATTCGCATCCGTATAAAATAAACATATATGAAATCCAACGGGATTTAACGTTCCCCCGCGACGGTTTGTTTAATTACACGGTGCTCATAATTCAAATAACGGTCGCTCGGGCGTGGCGTGACCCCCCTCGTTATATACATATTCCTCGGATATAGTAAATGTTGAAAATGTTCATTTTTTTTTTTTTAACGTTTGAAAACAATAGCATGCACATCGCTAGATGCAAAAAAGGGTATATGTTGAATTTTTAAAATTTGTCGAGAAATACTAAAAAAATACTCCTTAAGCCCTTAGAGTTTTATAATATTTCATAAAATGACTGCGGAAAGTATATATGTAAAGTATTATGATCCAATAACACTAATTACTGAATCGGATTCGCCGTTTAAAGTCCTATAAATCAGAAATGCTAACTCATCCTAACTTTCCTATTTTTTAGACCGTTTGAGTTTTTTTTTCTAGCCTACTCATAGGTATATAGTGTACACAAATTTTTTTCATGTAAATTACTACATTGCATACAAAAAAAAATAGAAAGGCAATAAAAACATGGACGTGGGACATCACTAACTAGAGCCATCGATATATTCGTGGTCCCGAACTGATAGGAAGTGAGAATATGTTTATTTGCAGTTTTTTATACGATTACTACTACAGTAGTACGCACGCACAACTATGCATATTATTCGACATGTATTATGAAACAGTCTTCACTGATAAGCTGCAATTATTTTCCAATCGTGTTTTTATTATTTATGTTGCACAGGTACATCGACCGGCGTGCGGCCACAGACTTGAAATACATTATGACACATACTACCATGTACGTATGTCCACAGACGAATTCTATTATAATATCCCGTTCACTAAAGAGACAAAAGCACCTTAGATATATTAGTGCATACGCATCGTTTCACAGCCAATCATTACTAATTAGTAATATAATCGCGTTCGTTCGTTATCGTTCGTTTAAAATTACGTTAAAAATAATTCATAAAATTAAAATGTCTATAAATAGTCAAAATTGGATACGATGTTTTGAAAATTTCACCACGTCTAGAAAAGGAAATATAAGTTTTCTGTCCAGACTTCAAGTCTTCACCCGTTCACAACGGTTAATCGCTGCTTATATATCGAATTCCCGTCTGTCCTACCTTCTCAATTTCCCGCCTACAACAGTAGCTGCACGCGTTCTCATGGCCCATTATCCTGGGACAGCATTTTACGTTTTCAAATTCTTTACAATATGATATCTTCTTTTTTTTTTTTTAATATTTTCTTAATAAATTGTCAAGTAAATTAATTATGTAAAGAAATTAATATTTCTTGACTAGTTAATAATACGCGTACTTTATAACGTTACAATTATTATTATTATTATTATTATTACTAGAGGTTACTATTTCTAGAGGCTTGTATAACTTGTTTCAGCATTTAATATCTAATGGTCGCCAATGTATTTCTACAACTACACAGACCTACTCGGACATACATCATTCATGAGTGACATTCAAATTACAACCGACGCGCGACGTGTTCACGTGTAAAATACCGATACGAGTTATTAATGAAATGGAAAAACGCACCTAAAATTTCGTGTGTTATCGTAATAAATAATGATAATATAAAAATCCGTCTCTATTATATTTATGCCAGCCGTCCGAGATTCGGAACCAATAAGAAACGACCGGTTGTGTGAAACAATGTAGGTGTGGTATAGAGAACATCAAAATACGTATCTTTAGGAAGGTATTATTCGAGCTATTTCTCTGTTTCAAAATAATTATTTTACATACCTGCTGAAGTGCTGTACAATTGATTGCGGCCCTGAAAACGCATTATCATGTACCACTGAACATTATATTATAAACTACACGATAAAAATTTACGTTAAAAACAATTGAAAAATTGATAATTTATTTTTATAATAAACGATACTATATTATCGTCCACGCGAGCGATAGCGAACTTTGGTCGAGAGATGAGCGAATACTTTTATATATTGGCCTAATTCCCAATTTGTATAACTCCAAAATGGCATTAAAAGAAGCAAAACACGTTTTCGTCACAAAAAACCTAATTCCGAAATGAAAATATTTTATATAGAGATCTGATAGATAGATGATAAGATTTTTTCTTCAACTTGATAATTTCGTTGTATTTTTACCAGCACTATTACGGGAAAATACATTTTTCATTTTGAATTAAAATGATACGTTATCACTGTTGAAAATATCGTAAATATAAAATCTCGTTTTTGGAGTTACAATTGGGAATTAGACGGACAAAATTACATTCAAATAATTTATTCAGTGAAACACGCGTTACAAAATATAAATTAAATTTTAATACGGGTGTGGAGAAATAAATTGCTCATGTTTCAAAGTTATGCGTGCTTAAAAATCAGTTTTTATTTCCGAGTCCACCCCATCGAAATCATTTTACGATGTTTTATTCGTCCAATAAAAAAATTACACCAACTAACAAATATAGTTTGCAGCCCGTGAAGAAAGAAATCACTGATTTTTACTAGAAAAAGTGAAATTTATATGAACTTTTATCGATCGAGTTTTTTAGTTTAGTACTAAACTTATACGCGAAAATTACCCATGCCGGAAAGTGTATAGCGCCGCGAAGATCATCGCTAAACTATTCGGTCAAAATGCCTCAAACGTATTTATACATTTTTGCTGTAATCGACTAACTGACGCAATACTATAAACCACCGACATAATCAAAAAAAAAAAAAAAAAATGTATTTTCAGTTTGCGATGAAAAGGATATGGATTAGTGATCATGGCCAGACACCAGTTCCGGGGCCTGGACTTTTGATCCAGGTACTTCATAGACAAGGGAACAAATCCCGGATACGGAAGCTGTTCCTGGATTCCGTGTTCCGCTCCTCCCATACAATCGTCGTCGTCGTCTTCTTCATCCCCGGAATCATCTTCGTCGTCGTCCTCCTCCTCCTCCTCTTCCTCGTACGCTTCGACGTCTAGGCTGCCGGGATAGCCCCCCGCCACCACGGCCAGGTCTGAGTCCGAGCTGCTCCTGGCCAACAAGCCATGGTTGCAACTGGTGCGCCGGTAACCGCGTTCTTCCACGCCACCCACTGCGCCGGAATGCCTCATCGCATAAACGTCGCAACACCTGATAAACGGACAAAAAAAATATTTCTATATTAATTTTATGTACACTAGTGTTTTACGAACTGTTAAAAACGATAATTCGAGAGAGACAAACAATTATCGCGGGTTTCATCGTTGATCAAGAAAGACATTACTCACTCCAACCACGAAGAGAGAATTCTAAGGATTTTGATCATTTATACGTAAAAAAAAAAATTGAAATTATTAGTATTTTCATCATTATTAATCGAGTTTGCAGTGTTGTTACTCATTTAGATATTGTGATATATTTCATTGTTATTTCTTGTTCATATTGACAAACACATATTACGACGGTATGTTATTGAGGTCAATTATGACTTTCAAAATTACAGGCTATATTCTATGGGAGTAAAAATAAAATGAAAACGTTAATCTATACCTTTAGAAAGCCGTTAGATTCGAAATTCACGAACACAGTCCGCAGCAAATTTAAATTACTTACACGTTATATACGTTCAATATAATACGAACGCGCAACACGTATTGTGGTGTATTTCCGTGATTTCCTAAAACGAAAGTTTTCCTTTAGTTTTGTCACAAGTAATTTCGATCTCAATGAATGCCGCATAATGATAATATGATACTTTCCGTACGGTCGATGACGTGTAAAACACAAAATTAAATATATTTTTTCGAGTGAGAATATTGTAAATGGAAACGCGTTGTTGATGACATGCCCAAATTATACAAACGTTTGTCGAGATTGTTGACTCGACGGGCAAAAATTGAACTTGGTCATTATTTTACGTTTCGTTCTTTGGGATAAATCTTATTTTTGAAAACTCTAATAACAATCCGAATAAAAATGGTCTCGCCGACACAATTTGAATGCGACCGAAACATGGTGTATAAAATCTCACATATATTACTATATAGTATGAGTATTTATTCTATGTTTTATATCAATGGAGTATTATTACATTTAAAATAATGCCGTTAACAATTTTAAGTTAAATTTTACTTTAATGAAAAGTGATAATACACTTTAAAATAGTTTTTCTCAACCTTTTTAACATTACTGCACCTTTGAGTAACAAACGTTTTTCAAATACCCTTTCCTCCTATGTGAAAATCCCGTAATCAAAAATATGGTTAAGTAAAGAGGAATTGTAGAATTTTTCAATTCTACAATTCTAAAAAAACTCTAAAAAAAAATTCTTAAAAAAATTTAAATAACCATTTGATAAAATAAAAATAGAATTTTTTAAGTGTTCTTTATCGAAAAGAAATTTAATGAATAACTAAAAAAGAACTTTATTTCACGTCTTATTGCAAAACACTAAATTAAGTGTACTGCCCCACAATACCACTTCATCACATCACTCCCATTGAGAACTACTGTTTTAAAAGGTTGAAATTCGGTACCCCATTTTATTTGTACAATTAACAGTAAGTCGTAATAGAAATTTATCTACTAATACGATTTTTATTAGTATTGCAGTAGGAATTATATTATGAACATTTCTTAAGAAGATTTCTAACGGAAGTTTCTATGGAATTCCTAACGGAACCTTCATGGATGTATAAAAATTAAAAAAATTACTGAACATTTGTGGGATTTAAACTCTAACTGCATTTACATATTATATACACATATTTCTGCCTATTATTTTTAACATACATACTCATGACCCTGTGTCCTAAACATTGCATCAATATATCAGATTTAAAATATGATTTAATGTCTGTTATCCTTCATTTGACTTATCTTTAATATTATTTCATAATGTTAACTACGATTTTGAACAATTTGGTTCATGAAACGACACCAACCTATAAATTATACACATACTTACCCTATGCATCACACCAAAACCGTCATACGAGTATACTCCTTTTTCCTCCCCGCTTAAACGTACGTCTAGCCGGAAAACAAATGTGAGACTCTCTGGGACTTCAGTGCTATTAAATCATTCCTACCTATTACGAGATCCCTTTATCCATTATACATGTTTATTTTATCCGAGTTTATAATTTTTACACGACCCTACTAACTGACGTTTACACAAAAATATTCATCAACATTATTTACGTGTGTAGTTGTGACAAATATATTAAATTCTTATATAAAATTAATTTACTTTGATAACCCGTGTAGTGTGTATATTTAAATGACATTTTCAATTAAAATATATTCAGAAATGTGTATAACCATTATTTACTTATTTACTTAGTTTACTGTAGTAGTGAAAAATCTAATACTACATACTCATTTTTACGTGCAAAATTAATTAAAATTAATTACTTATGTAAAATTACATGGAGCCATTAACTGAAGTTGAACAATATTTTTTACAGTGAACTTTGGTTATTGAAAATTCAATTTACATACCACAAAACTACAAAACTCGAGCAAGTAACCCTTTAGGGATAGAATTTCGGAAATTTTACTTTGGAATAGGTCCCTAGGACCCATTCATCCGTTATGGTATTGAACTTTGCATTTGATAGATTTGGCTGTAAATCGTGCACAGATAGACAAACAAACAATCGCTTTCTTTTATTATGAAAGTCAACAGACACCATAGAAAAATTGAAATTAACGAATTGGGAAGATGGAATCTAAGACCAAGGCGATTGGAGAACAGTGGTCAAATTTCGTATAGAATTGTAAAGCCAAAGAAAAATAAGAATATAAAAACGGAGTCCACAGCACCTTAATGATAATATTAATCGGACCTAACAAACTGAATTCATTTAGCTATTGTAATGTTGCATAATACTATAAAGTGCATTATTTTAAGAATCAGTAATTTCGTCGTTTATTGATTAGGTCAGATTGTCAGGAACTTCCTCAAGGTAATTAAAATATTCTTAAAAGACCTAAATTTCTCGTCCGGTTCGTTAAATTTATTTAAAAACTTTTTTAAATTCGCCAAACAATTTCTCGTGGTGAAGAACGTGGTTCTTCACTGCGTGGTTCAACTTAACTGCTTCAGCTACGTACCTTACGAAGATAATGTCAATGTGGACGACTTTTAAGCGCAGTCGGCCCCTACCTCGATCGAATACCCTTGCTACCCCGCCCCACTTTAATACCTCTGACTAATGGTTATCCAACCCATCCAGTTTCTATAGACGAACGAATATTTACAGGTAGTTTCGGTATTAGACTATTAATATTATGAAAAAATGTTCGCGTAAAGCGACGCCAAAATAGTTTTCGATAAGTATAATATTATATCAACAGAAAACGCGGTATAGTCGGTAGTGTTCGCGCGTCGTTTATTTCGCGGTCTATTTTCGATAATAGTTATTGGAAGCCGATCAAACCATCGTCGTTTACCCAAAAATAATTCAATATAACAACACCGTCCAAACATTCCTACCCACGCACAGCGGCGTGTCACCGTTTTGAATATTTTGGAGAATATATAATTATACAGTTTTATTTGATACTATTATCGTATAACACATTTAATATTTTATGTCAGCAAAACGATTCCGTTCGAAATATTAATATTGCGTTTTAAACTCTCCGATTTCGCTCTTTAGCGGGTGATGGATATCGTCATCGTTCGATTTATTTTCAAAGCTGGAGAGTAACCAGTTAAAAAGTTAAGAGTCAAGTGTTATAAGTTATTTTTTTTTAATACATTTTAACGTAACATGGTTATTTTATTAAAATTTCAGTTATGTACATACTATTTGTGAATAAAAAAAAAAAAAAAACGATTTCCTTGTCTGGTTTTCGCGTATTAAAATTTTTTTTTTTTTTGGATAACTAAATGGGCAATACATGTCAACTTTAATTTTACCCTGTTCGAAATCTCGTGGACTCACGATTGAGCGATGGAGAAGTTCAAAATACGGCCTATATATATATATATACGTACATGTATGTATATTATGGCTGTTTCGAATTAAAATCGTACCCAATTTCGTTTAGTCTCGATCGAAACGAATCGCACCAGAATCCCGATTATACCAACGGCAGTGACAAAGTGGTTTGGCCGCAAAAGTCAACGTCCCTTGCCAATTTAATACGTGCACGGGGACAGACACCCGCCGTTTTTATGATATCAACGTCGAGTTAGCCCGTGTTCGCTAAATTGGACGGCGGCGGCCGTTACGTACGCGCGTTTTTATTTTCGAGCAACGAAATATTTTATTTATCTTTTAAATAAAACTTCGACTATATTCGCGGCAAACCAACGTATGTGAGTGTGGGAGGTGTAGATTGAGTTAGTAGCGATTTCGTTATTATTTGTCTCATACCGATGGGCCCCGAGTTTTACAGCAGATATTAAAAAAAAAAAAAAAAAAAAAAAAAAAAAAAATGTTAATTGTATCCCGATTGGCCAATTAGTATACCGATTTCACAGCACTGGTTCCCAAACAAATAAACAAATTAATGTTTCACGTATCCTAGCTGAAAATTGTTTACGTAGTGTTTAAATTACACACTTTACGACGATTTCCTATTAAATTTACTCTTCCAAAATCCGGACGTAATTCGCATCATGGATAGACCACTAACTATAGTATAGGTGGGAAATATTGAAGGTATTCAAAGGTACTCTTCAGTGATGACTACTTGCGCTTCCCCAAAACCACTGATCTAGATAAATCTTTTCAAATCGTAGTTTAAACATTATTTATTATAGAAATGATAGATAAAATATTTAATTTGTATTAATATGGGTTACAAATGTGGTAAACTTTTACTTTTAGCGTTTATAGTTATTATACTGGTGTCTAACGAATAAAATTATTTTTTTTTTTTTTTATCTAGATAACAATTATTTACTTATTATTTATTATCTTTGTCTAGATAATTAAATTTGTACCTATATATCTTTTATGTTCAATCAGATAATTATTCCGGCAATCGTATCTGTTCTAAATCTCGACATAGTTTAAACTGCTTGTTATGCGTCTTATATTACGTTGAAATTCGATTTTTCGAAATGGAAAACGAAAATCTTGTGGACAGTGTTAGGTAAAATACACAATATATACGTGTATGGGTAAATATGTTTGATACGTGTCTGTCAAACAGGTCGGTTGAAATGTGTAAACGCATTGAAGTGATTCTATCATTGTACAAAAATAAAAAAA